TTTGTACTTACTGTCTCCAGAATTTCTTTCAAGTAAATTCACTCTGTAAACTCCAAGGCCAAAGCCACTTGAGACTTTTTTAGGTAAGAGAAATTGAGGAATGTTTCTCTCACATCAGAGTGGAATGTGATCTGGGCCTTGAAGTTGTGTGTAATCTGGGTAGTGAGAAAGGCGGGGAGGCAGGAAGGAGGGCCACATGGCCATGGGCTGGGCGCCATATAGCCTTGAGGGGTTTCATATTCACTTACTCTCTGAGGGGTGTGCCCTGGAGCTGTGCAACAGCTTAGCCTTGGGGGGGGTCTGGACTACTGCTCAGAGGCACTAGGGTGACACACTAAAGGCTTATAAGAGTGAGGAGATGAGACTGAGGTCAGGTCTGCCTGTGGGAGACGTACCTGGGGAGTGACTTGGGGGAAATGAGGTGATGGAGGCTCACTCAGGCTTTTTATGCCCACTTTCTCTTTTGCAGATTCCTCTTTGATCTCTCTCATTCTCTCCAAATCCATACCCAGGGTTTTGGACATTACAGACAATTCTCTGTGTTTTCTGGTATCAATCATCTGCCACCTTTGGAATCTGTCACGTGATCTATGGGGATTTGTTGAACCAACATTATAGACAGAATGACCTTTATTGTTAGCATTGGCTCTTTGCAAAACTGCAGTTTTTGGTTTATTTATTTATTATTTTTTGCCAGTCCAGGGGTCCAGTGAACTCTTGAAGTGCACCTTTAATGGATACGCATTAGAAATGGAGCTGCCTTTCCCAGGGATTTTTGTATTTTAAGGAGTCTTGACTGGAACTGGTGATGTCATGCCCCTTGTCCTAGAGAAGGACATCTTCCAGACTTTTCAAGCTGCACCTTAGCAGATGAAAGCTTGCCATCTCAGCACAATGACTGGCCAGCATCGCCTACACAGAAGCAGATGGATGGTTTCCATTATTACACTTCTGTCATTGACTGCTTCAGTTACAAGTACTTTCTAATAAATTGGAACATTTTTACTCTCTGGGTGAAAAACTGGTTATATGTTTCCCATATTAAACTGAAAATAATGAAATAGTGCACCCAGAGCATCACGTGGGCATCATGATTAATTTCGCCTTTTGTTTGTCCAAAAATAGCACTTTAAAGAAGCCAGTCAATTTGGCTACACTAAAAACAACAAAAGTTCAGAGGAAATGGTACTCACATCAAAAGGCCATGATACAGAACACTTGGCAGAAGGGTATTCTTGTAGAATAATTCAAAAACAGGATACTAATTAATTTTTTTCTAGATGGGAAAAATACTTAGCTCTTTCATACAATAAATTCCCTTGGTATATTCACTCAAGTACGTATTTGAAAAACCAACCTCCAATTGGGTTTGATCATTTTTCCCTTTGTCCTTATAATTAGTTCTCTTCTACCTGTGCAGAAGGAGGCTCAGAGAAAACTGGGTAATATAACTAGACAAGGCACCACCATTCCATCTGTCAGAGACAGACTCATCCGTACACTGAGGAATTGATCTTCATCTGGCAGAAGTCATATTTCAGAGATACTTTATGAAATAGATAATATGCCTGTGGGTTGCTAGAAGTTTCCCCCATTCTCTCCTGTTGGGGCTTCTAACCATTTTCTTTAATATTATTCACTACTTTTTTTTAACCTCTCTACAACCTACTCTAGGTAAGCCCTCTCTCCACTCTTTTTTCTCACCAAGAGAGTTTATTCATTCTTAGGACATTCATTAATTCATTCTAAATTGATTAATCTTACAATATTTAAGAAACATCCTGTGCTAGAGTTCTGAAAAATGCAAAGGTGAATAATACTACTACTCGTGGTTAAAATTTGGTGCGCTCCTACTATGTGCCAAGCATGGTTTTCGGTACCGGGTATTA